CAGATGTCACAAAATCGTCGCTGATTGTTTCAGACTAATGGTCACTCAGCCTCTCTGATTGGTGCGCTTCGCTGCACCTCTCCTCCTCATTGGCCCCTCGCGGATTTATGCGATCTGTAAATTTGCATCAAGTCCACTTTATTGTTTTCTAGTTGTCTGTTAATTCCAGTCTGCGGAGCAGCCAGTGACCCATGCCCTGCAAACTCCTCTTCCTCCCGCCGACTGTCTGAGACGCAAAACTTTGCCTTTTGGAGTACGAGGCCGATTCAAGGCTTTTAATCCGATAAAATAATCGCCGGCGTCGTTCACTCATTTTGCTAATCAAATAAAAACCAGCAGATTGACCGGCTCGTTCGGTCACTAATTCTGTTCCCAGCCCTGCAATGCAGGAGAGTTAATGAAGCATTAATGGGAGTCTCTGTTTATTTAATGGCAGCGCTGCTCCTTACTCAGAGTCATTATACATGCGGTGTTTAAAACTGCATGTTAAGAGCCTGAATGAAATAAAAATTCAATAAGTTGATAGGACACCATGTTTTTATTATTTGATTGCATAACATTAAAGGAGCTGAGGCCTCGCAGCTTCGGTGCCAAAGGGAAATGTTGGCCATCGTCCACGCAGAGACGAGTCGACTTGGCCAAGAAAGTGTCAAGTTTGTAAAGGAAGCCATGCTGCAGATGCTTTTAGCTTATGGTGGGTGTGCTCGGTGATTAGCTCCAACACAAACACCGCAGTATAAATTATTTTTGAGCTTGTTAATGAATTTATTTATTTTACATTCATTACATAAGGAAAAGCTTTTTTCTAAATATGCAAAAGGCATAAGAAGAAGGGGGGGGGGGATTTTTGTTAAGCCTGTGCATCTGGGAGCAGCATGCTCGTAAACCATAGCATCGCTCCACATCACACAGCTGCGGTGCTTTTTCTTGTTTCCTAAAGAATCTGAAATCCATTGTTTTTGTTTTCTCGTTTAAAGAGCAGACATGGTGGGAATTCTTGGAATGCCGAGGGCCCAAAGCACGAAGGAACGCCATAATAAGGATGAGATAGCGTTTAATTCCGACTCTGACACGCCATGCCCTGTATGTGGCGTGCTCTTCAGGTCACGCGTGTGCAACGCACTCACCTACCGGGGAGTGACGTGCGCGTCCTGCTTTGATTCGTCGCTTCCTGGTTTGATGACTGAATGAATGAAAGCTTTTCCCCGTGCTGCACATTAACACGTTCCTCTCTGCCTCTTGCAGCTACCTGCCCTGGTTTGAAATCTACTACAAGCTTCTGAACACGCTGGCAGACTACTTATCGAAACAACAGGTAACCTGGTCTTTTTCTGCGCGTCGACTATTTACACTCGTGCTCTAATGGAAAACAAAATGAGGAAAGGTGTAGTGGGATTTGCCTGAGAGACACGCGAACACGGCGCCGCGGCGAGATGTTTTCCTGCATTGTGTCTTTGGCGAGCAGCCGTCTCGGGCTCGACTCGCTTCCTGTTGTTAGCAGCAACAGTGTTGACATTTCACAGACCAAACGCTGATCTGACACTGGAAGTTTTTCCTGATGATTTACTGGAATACAAATCGTTAAGAACAAGAAAATTCCCACACACACACACACACACACACACACACACACTTCACTAAAGTCTTTTCCCCTGACTTTTCGCTGCATCGTACGAGCAGAGGGAGGGGAAATGTAAAATATGCAACAAACTGGGGAGATGCGCGGCGTCTATGCAGCGGGTGTAGGTGATGTTCCACTGTTTAGACTGAAGGGAGGGGGGGGGAGCTTTGGGATCACTTTCAATTGTCATGTAGTCACTGCTTCTTCCAACATCCTCTGAGAACAGCGATCAGGACAAAGAGTCTGTCTAAAGTAGACAATAGCAGACACACAAACTCCTGCAGTTCATCAGAATAATCTAATATGAAGCGCGAGGAGGGGGCGGCGGCCAAAACAGATCAGGACAGTTTGTGCGAGGCAGACGGAGACAGAAGGAAAGCTGGAAATCCTGGGTGACTGAAGTGTTAGCGTGCATGATTTGGTTTCTATTTACCCCGCTGTCCGTTCCAGGCGAGAGGGAGATGTTGACAGACGAGGGAAGACAGAAGAGCGATGAGGGTTTAAGGCGAGGGGTAAATGAACTGTTTCCCCAGGCCGTGTTGCTGACCATGCGTGTGAGCATTGAGGCTCTCATGACAGGAGGCTGTTCGATTGCACCCCTCCCTCCTTAACCCTCCTTTACTGTATATTGCCGTCTATCGCTTCTATTTCTTTTCCACTTCATGCACGCACACGCACACGAACTCGCGCGTTTATTTCCTGGCACAAGCAGCGGCTCGTACACAAAACCAAAACAAAGTTCTCAGAGAGGAAGTTGAAGCAAACAGTCGTCCCTCCTTTTTGTTTCTCCAACAGGAAGCCGAGAGTGTGAACGGCGATCTTGTCAAAGAGCTGATCTGTGGTCAGCTGCCGGCTTCCTGCAGCCTCTCTTTGCAGCGAGGGGTGGGGGCTTAATTACTGACAGCCCGCTCTCGGCCTGTAAATCAACGCCAGCGGATAATAAGCGTCTGCGGCCCGTCTTTTAACCTCGCCGTTTCTCGTTAAACGCATGTCGGTCGGATGTCGCGGAGCCCTACGGCCCTGTGGTCGGCAGCGTGTTTGAGATTGACGCGTAACTCGTGACATCGACAAGTCAAGTAAATAAAATTGACGCGTCTCTTTTCCTCGTTTGTTTGTCTCCTCTAGAAAAACGACTTGAACGACGTGCTGAACTCTCTCTATGATCTGCCTGTGCCAAAGCCCTTCACGCCCGTCAACCTGAGTGTGGTAGGTATCTCGTATTCGCCGTTATCGGAGGCAGAGGCAGAAAGAGGGGACAGGTGGTGACTGTGGCGGCGTGCAACTTTAAAAGAAGAATTAAAGTCGTCACAAAGAAGAAACGAGCACATGAGGGTGGAGATAAATGAGAGAGCAGAGCAGTAGATGCTGTAGGTGGGAACAGCGACTGACACCCCGTTTGGAAACGTTGTTTTGGCGATGAGCCTGAGCCGGACATGTTTAAAGTGGAAGCCTCCTTTCACAGCTCGCCGTGTCTCCGCTTATCCAAAAAGTGGAACGGCTTAACGAGCTCGGTCGCTGAAAGCCGGCCTGTGACACAGCTCGGCCTCTGTCACGTCCCCGTGTAAGACGAGCGTGATGGTTTCTCTCCAGTATCTATCTGAGTTTTAGGGCCTCTGCACTGTAACAGGATCAAAGGGTTTCGTGGTGGCCTCTGCCCTCGGGGACCACCTCTCTTTAGTTTTTTTGTTTTGTCGGACCAATCAGACAAACAGCTGTAGAAGAACAGTCGTCTAATTAAACATATGAATTTACAGCCTAACGAGACTAATACGAGGCGATCAATAAATCTCTGTGAAGGCTAACGAGTCCATTTCTTCCCGTCTGAGTCTTGATTGGAAAAGAAGCCCCAGAGAACAGAGGTGATAGCTTCATCTCTCCTTCGCTCTTTTCCTGGAGACGCCACTAGTTTGATATTTAATTGATGAAGCAGAATTATTCCCTTAAAGTGTGTTTTTTGTTTTATCATGGCAGCCAAGAAGAAGAATCATTGTCCCCTTTCATCTGTGAACCCTGTCTCTCTCTCTCTCTCTCTCTCTCTCTCTCTCTCATTGTGCAAGAATGAGCAGTTGTATATTGCCACTGGGCAAGTACTGAGAGATCGGCGAAGCAAGGAGCCGGTGAGTGGAGGGGAATGAGCAGAGGAGGGAGGAGGCGAAATATGAAACTGCTGCTGTACTAATCGCATGGGAGCCGCGGATTTCCAATTTGGCCAAATAAGCTGCGCTATCTTTTTAAATATAACAAAAACAAACTATCCTGGGCCTTGGTGTGTGTTTCTTCTCCTCTGGAAAACAATCAAACTGTGTAAATGATTAATGCCCTTCCACACTGCTATATTCTCTCTGAATATCAAAAGTCTTTTTTCCCTTCTCTTTATGTTTAAAGCAAAGGCAATTGTACTCAAAAAATCTCCTTGATGCCTTTCCAGTTAACCCACTTTCAATGTTTTTATATAAACAAGTCTTCGAAAGAACAAGGGGGTGGGGGTGGGGTGGTGGGGGGGTGATAAGCAAGCAAACAGCCAATGAAAGGCAGGGTTGAGTTGAGGAGCACGGCTTGTGATTATCACAGCGCCGCAAATTTGTAACTTTGTTTAGTTACACAGAGCACACGGAGAGGGAGGCGGAGAGTTACCGTGGTTACGGGTGGCGGTCCTTAGCACCAAGTCTTCGATTTGACACTTTATTTATTTATTATCTTTTATCATAGATGATAGATGGGTAATGGTAGATGTTTCCAACGACGAGCTGAATTAACTCAACTTTAAAGCTGATGACCAAGTACTAATCAACCAATCACGTGTGACTATTTGTTAGAGGTGGGAATCACCACACATCCCACGATACGATATTATCACAATACTTAACGCACGATACGATATTATTGCAATTTTTTAAAATATTTTGCGATATTCAGATTCTGTACATAAAGGTAAACTTTATCAATATTCATTTTCTCTAATATCA